TTAGTAACTTACTACCTATTCCATACACATGCAACATCTGCCACATTGTTCCCCTATCCACCCTATCATAAGACTTTTCTAAATCCATAAATGCAATGAAAACTTCCCTCCCTTTATCTAAATACAGTGGACCCCCGCCTTACGAACGCATCGCATTACATTAAATCCGCAATACGAAGCATTTGAACGCAAAAATTTTGCCTCGCCTTACGTGATTCGTCTGGGACACGTCCCATGTGTGGCCTCAGCGCCAGTGTTTACAAGCCAGCCAGTGTGGTCGCATCTACGCATACATTCGGTACATTTCACATTATCCCAGTGTTTTTAGTGCTTGTAACTGCAAAATAAATCATGGACCCCAAGAAAGCTTCTAGTGCCATCCCTGTGGTAAAAACGGTGAGAATTAGTATGGAATTGAAAAAAGAGATTAAGGAAATGTGTGCAAAGTGGGTTGAACTGCAAACCTTTATGGATGAAAATCACCCTGACACAGCTACTGCAAGCCGTGTTGGCAACCTGTACAATGACAATTTTATGGCCCATTTTAGGAAAGTCTTAAAGGAACGGGAGGTACAGAGCTCTATGGACAGATTTGTTGTGCGACAGAGGTCCAGTGATTCTCAAGCTGGTCCTAGTGGCATTAAAAGAAGAAGGGAAGTAACCCCGGAAAAGGACTTGCTACCTCAAGTCCTAATGGAAGGAGATTCCCCTTCTAAACAATAACTTCCACACTCTCCCCTCCTCCCATCCTATCAATCATCACCAGATCTTCAATAAAGGTAAGTGTCACGTATTCTATTCTTAGTAGAGCAGTAATTGTGCATGTCTTCTTCAGTTTGTGTGTATTAAAATTAATATTTCATTTTTTTTTTCAACAAGTCGGCCGTCTCCCACCGAGGTAGGGTTGCCCAAAAAGAAAGAAAATACCCAAAAAGAAAATACTTTCATCATCATTCAACACTTTCACCTCACTCACACATAATCACTGTTTTTGCAGAGGTGCCCAGAATACAACAGTTTAGAAGTACGTATATACGTATAAAAATACACAATATATCCCTCCAAACTGCCAATATCTCAAACCCCTCCTTTAGAGTGCAGGCATTGCACTTCCCATTTTATATAACCAGACTCAAGTCCGGTTATATAAAATAACCGGATTCCCTGAATCCCTTCACTAAATATTACCCTGCTCACACTCCAACAGCTCGTCAGGTCCCAAATACCATTTGTCTCCATTCACTCCTATCTAACACGCTCACGCACGCTTGCTGGAAGTCCATACCCCTCGCCCACAACACCTCCTTTACCCCCTCCCTCCAACCTTTTCGAGGACAACCCTTACCCCGCCTTCCTTCCCCTACAGATTTATACGCTCTCCATGTCATTCTACTTTGATCCATTCTCTCTAAATGACCAAACCACCTCAACAAACCCTCTTCAGCCCTCTGACTAATACTTTTATTAACTCCACACCTTCTAACATTTCATGTGGTAAATTTTTTTTTTTTTTTATACTTTGGGGTGTCAGGAACGGATTAATTTGATTTCCGTTATTTCTTTTGGGGAAAATTAATTTGGCTAATGATAATTTCGGCTTACGATGAGCTCTCAGGAACGGATTAATATCGTAATGCGGGGGTCCACTGTACTGTTTGCATATATGCTTCAATGTAAACACTTTATCTACACATCCCCTAGGCATTCTAAAGTCACACTGTTCATCTGCAACCCCGCTCTCTGTTTTACCTCTTAATTCTTTCAAAAATAATCCTACCATACACTTTACCTGGTATACTCAGTAAACTTATTCCCCTAATTTTTACAATCTCTTTTGTCCCCCTTCCCTTTATATAAAGGAACTTTACACTCTCTCTGTCAATCTTAGGAACCTTCCCCTCTTTCATACATTTATTAAACAAAAATACCAACCACTCCAACACTATATATCCCCCTGCTTTTATCATTTCTGTCATGATTTCATCAGTTTCAGCTGCTTTACCCTGTTTCATTCTATATAATGCCTCACACACCTCCTCCACAATCACATCCTGCTCTTCCTCACTCCTAAAAAATGCTATACCTCCCTGGCCAGTGCATGAAATTACTGCCTCCCGTTCATCAACATTTAAAAGTTCCTTAAAATATTCCTGCCATCTACCCAATACCTCCAGCTACCCATCTAAAAACTCTCATACTCTGTTTTAAACTGACAAATCCATTCGTTCCCTAGGCTTTCTTATCCTGTTTATCTCACACCAAAATTTTTTTTTATTCTCATCAAAATTTCTTGACAGTGCCTCTCCCACTCTACCATTTGTTCTCTTTTTGCACACTCTCACCACTCTCTTCACCTTTTTTTACTATCCATATACAGTGGAACCCCGGTTTTCGTCTTTAATCCGTTCCAGAAGGTCAGCCAAAAACCAATATGTACAAAAACTGAAGTAATATTTCACATAAAAATAATGTAAATCCAATTAATCCGTTCCATACACCCAAAAATATTAACAAAAAATAAATTTTATAGAGAATAACTATAGTTTTACATACAGAAAACAATGAGAAATAAATATAAAGCACTAATACTAATGAAATGGATAAATGAACATTTAACATCACTTTTACCTTTATTAAAGACTCTTGTTGGCGTATGGAAGACAGCAAGGCAGAAAGAGGGAGGAGAGGTTATTCTTTGGAAGGGGAATTCCCCTCCATAAGGACTTCAGATTTCAAAGCCCTATCTGGGGTTACTTCCTTTCTTTGTCTTTTACTGGCACTAGGACCAGCTTGAGAGTCACTGGACCCCTGTCGGACAAAAAATCTGTCCAGAGAGGCCTGTTCCTGGTGTCTCTAAGATTTGCCTAAAATGGGTCACGGCATTGTCACTGAACATGTTGCTGACATGGCTTGCAACAGCTTTGTTAAGGTGATATTTCTCCACAAACTTTTGCATCTCACTCTACTTTGCACAAATGTCCTTAATTGCTGAAGAAGGCACATTCTACCCTCTCTCTTCCTCCTCCTCTAAAGCAATTTCCTCAGCTAAGGTTTGCTGCTGTTCCAGATGAAAGTCTTGCAGCTCTTCAATGGTTAGCTCTTCCCTGTGGACATCCACTTACTCTTCCACATCTAGGTCACTCGCCTCCAACCCCTTGGACTGTCTATGGCCCCATGGTGGTTTATATAGCAGTCACAAGCACAAAAAAATGGATTATTACGAAATGTTTCAGATGAACATGCAGAGTAATGTTCACTGAACGAGTAACAAAGGCAGACTGAGTCGCAAACATGCTAGAGGCTGCATCTCATGGGCAGGCGGGCACATTTGGTATGGACAATTTCCAAGCAGATATACGAAAACAGGGAAAATTTCGTCAAAAAAAGTGGTCGAAAACTGAATTGTACAATAACCGGACTGGACAAAAACCAGGGTTCCACTGTACTCTGCACTTCTTATATAACTTCTGCTTTGTAAAACCCTCTCATAAGCTACCTTTTTCTCTCTTACTGCACCCTTTACCTCGTCATTCCACCAATCACTACTCTTTCCTCTTGCACCCACCCTCCTATATCCACAAACTTCTGCATTTTTAAAACTATCCCATCCCTCTTCAACTCCCCCACTACCCATACTTGTACTAGCCCACCTTTCTGCCAACAGGCACTTATATCTCACCCTAAACTTTCTCCTCCCTGAGTCTATAAACTTTTACCTCTCTCTTACTTGCTGCTGCCATTTTCCTTTCGCCCCAACTACCTCTTACTCCAACTGTAGCTACAACTGAATAATGATCAGATATATCCGTTGCCCCTCTATAAATATGCACATCCTAAAGCCTACCCATCAACCTTTTATCCACCAATACATAATCTAACAAACTATTTTCATTACATGATGTATCATACCTTGTATACTTATTTATCCTCTTTTTCATAAAATATCTATTACTTATTACCAAACCTCTTTCTACACATAGTTCAATTAAAGGCTCCCCATTTTCATTTACCCCTGGAAACCCAAATTTATGTACTACTCCCTTCACAACACTTTTACCCACTTGAGCATTGAAATCCCCAACCACAAGCACTCTCTCATTTGGTTCAAAACTTCCCATGCACTCAACATTTCCCAAAAATCTTTCTCTACACTTCTCTCTTCTCCAGGTGCATACACACTTACTAACCCACTTTTCGCATCCAACCCTTTACTCCACATAATACTTGAATTTATATATTTATATTACCTTTTCTCCTGCCATAACTTATCCTTCAACATTATTGCTACTCCATCCATAGCTCTAACTCTATTAGAATCCCCTGACCTAATCCTATTTATTTCTCTCCACTGAGACTCTCCTACCCCCATCAGTTTTGAATTTGTCTAACTGTATTTATGTGTACCTGTACTTAAATAAACTTACTAATTTGAACATAATTTAACTATGCAAGGAACATTTTGCTGACAGTTCTGGATGTAAGAACCTTTTAAGCTCAGGACTGGGATTTAGCAGATTCAGAATAATCACCTGCATACTGGCGTGTTTATTAGCGCTGTTTCACGTAAATGTAGTGGGTTTTAGGTAACGAGCTGACTGGCAAACCTGCCAGTCAGCTGAGTCAGCGATAAATAACCATAGAATGAACCATCAATGTGTGTTTTTATATGTAATGCCTCAGGCCTAACACAGCTTTATTGCCGTTATTACCGTGAATACCTTTTTTTTTTTTCTAAAATTTAACCGGACTTGGGGGATGAGGGGCCGCCTCAACACCGGAGCATTCTGTTTGCCGTAAAATACAGAACTTAATGCAATTACTGTATATCACTAGATAAAGTACATTAGATAAAAATGAAGGTTAAGGTGCAAGATAAGTACTGCAATGTGTTATTACATGAATTAGGTAGAAGGCCCAAAGAGAGATGACAGGGTATAGATAAGAGTTAGATTTTTGTCTATAATGGATATGTAAAATAAAACATTTAAAAAACTACTTACTTGTCTGAAGCGTTTAAGGTGTATAACAAGTATCTGTGGCGCAGACCATAGCATGAGTCTTTTCACCACCTGCTGCTTGCGGTTGCAAGTTGGGCAGTGCCATGCATCGCCACACCCTAGTTTCTCAGCTGATGTGTGTAGCTGTGGAAGATTTACTGCTTTAGAATAATGTACAGGCAGCCCCTGATTTAAGTTTGATTTTTTTTTTTTAACACGTTGGCCATTTCCCACTGAGGCACGGTAACCCAAAAAGAAAGAAAGAAAAAATTTCCATCATCATTCAACACCCTCACACATAATCACTGTCTTTGCAGAGGCGCTCAGATACAACAGCCTAGACATCCCTCCAAACTGCCAACATCCCAAACCCCTCCTTTAAAGTGCAGGCATTGTACTTCCCATTTCCAGGACTCAAGTCCAGCTAACCGGTTTCCCTGCACCCCTTCACAAAATATTCCCCTGCTCACACTCCAACAACTCGTCTGGTCCCAAAAATCATTCATCTTCATTCACTATCTAACCCACTCATACATGCTTGCTGGAAGTTCAAGCCCCTAGCCCACAAAGTCTCCATTTCCCCCCTCCCTCCAACCTTTTCAAGGACGATCCATACCCCGCCTTCTTTTCCCCACAGATTTATACGCTCTCCAAGTCATTCTACTCTGTTTCAGTCTCTCTACATGACCAAACCACCTCAACAGCCCCTCTTCAGCCATCTGAATAATACTTTTAGTAACTCCACATCTCCTAATTTCCACGCTACGAATTCTCTGCATAATATTTACACCACACATTGCCTTTAGACAGGACATCTCCACTGCGTCCAACCGCCTCCTAGCTACAGCATTTACAACCCATGCTTCACAACCATATAGGAATGTTGGTACCACTATTCTCCCATACATTCCCTTCTTTGCCTCCATGGATAACATTTTTGGTCTCCACAAATACCTCAATACACCGGTCATCTTTTTCCTTCATCAATTGTATGGTTAACCTCATCCTTCATAAACCCATCTGCTGACAAGTCAAGTCCCAAACAGAGGCATCGCTAGGGTTGGTGTCACCTGGAGCGGAATCTTTGGTGCCACCCCGGGCGGCATCTTTGGTGTCACCCGCATGATATCCAAGGGTCGGGGGAGTGGGGGGAGTAAACTCCAGTTACGTCAGTACTGCATGCCCAATGACTAATGTTTAGCAATGAGAATGTTTAAAGGCCATAAACTGAACAGGAAAACACTTCTCAACTTTATTAATGATAAAATAAATAATCGTAGTAATATTGAGGAAACAAATTCAATACCACTTTGAGTACACTCAACAGATCCTACAATTATTCATCTTCAACAGTGCCCCCCATAAAAAAACTTGAAAAAATAAAGGAAAACATTGTAATATCAGAGAAACACTTGTTCCGATTTGACCTTCAGTACAGGTAACATCTCAGTGAATCTGATCTTACATTTCCTTGCCTTCAATCATCAAAATCAATGATTTTCCCTATGTAGGCCTATTTGTACTCTGTAATCATACAAGAGGCTCAATAGAAATGAAGGATTCTTCTCTTATGTTGGTGCAGCTCTGTTTTGGGCATTAGTGTCACCTTCTTTAGAGGCTCTATGGTGTCACCCTCTAAATGGTGTCGGCAGCCCGCACCCCCTTATGACGCCACTGCTCCCAAATATCTGAAAACATTCACTTCTTCCATACTCCCTCCCTAGAATGTGGTAACAAATTTTTCTTTAAATCGTCTGATACCTTCATCACCTTACTCTTATTTATGTTCACTCTCAACTTTCTATCTTCACACACCCTCCCAAACTTGTCCACTAACCTTTGTCATTTTTCTTTAGAATCCCCAAAAGCACAGTATCATCAACAATATGTAACTATATTATTTTTATTTTTTATTATCACACTGGCTGATTCCCACCAAGGCAGGGTGGCCCGAAAAAGAAAAACTTTCACCATCATTCACTCCATCACTGTCTTGCCAGAAGGGTGCTTTACACTACAGTTTTTAAACTGCAACATTTACACCCCTCCATTTTATATTTGATTCCCCATAATTTAATCTTACCCTTCTCTCCAACACCCTAGCATTCACTTCTTTTACAACTCCATCTATATGTTAAACAACCATGGTGATATTTCGCATCCCTGTCTAAGAGCTACTTGTACTAGGAAGTAATCTCCCTCTCTCCTACACACCCTAACATGAGCCTCAACAGCCCCTTTTCAGACCTCTGAATAATACTTTTAGTAACTCCACATCTCCTCCTAATTTCCACACTACGAATTCTCTGCATAATATTTACACCACACATTGCCTTTAGACAGGACATCTCCACTGCCTCAAGCCACCTCCTTGCTGCAGCATTTACAACCCATGCTTCACACCCATATAAGAATGTTGGTCCCACTATTCTCTCGTACATTCTCTTCTTTGCCTCAATGGATAATGTTTTTTGTCTCCAGAGATACCTCAACACAGCATTCATCTTTTTTCCTTCATCAATTGTATGGTGTTACAAACCCAGAAAAGAGACAATTGGAGAATTGGTTGATTGAGCACTTCAGTGCTGCTGCCAGACAACAGTACCCAGTGTGACGTAATCGCACTTTATGTCGAGGCTGGTGAACCAACCTCATTCAGTGTGCTGACCACAGCTCACTGAGTCTGACGGTCTCAGAATTATCTGACAGCTGCATTCAGTGTACTCACAACATAGTGTGTTCTGCACAGCTCACCGAGAGTGAAGACCTCATACATAGTGTGAGTTTAGCACGGCTTCACAGCTTGACTTTGCTGATAACGTCTCCTGCTGACAACGAAAGTTTCCTGATGGCAGCAACTGGACCTTAATCGACTGGCCCTCCACGACGGTGTTGGTGACGGACACTGCAAGTTGTCTTGTGGACACAGTAGCGAAAGTGTGTAGATGTACACAGAGACAAGGGTGTCATGTGGACACAGTAGCGAAAGTGTGTAGATGTACACGGAAACAAGGGTGTCACGTGGACATGGTAGCAAAGGTGTGTAGATTTACATGGAGACAAGGGTGTCATGTGGACACATTTGAAATGGTGTGTTATAATGCAGAGACAAGGGTATCATGACACTGAGAGAAAGGTGTCGTGTGTAACTGAGTGTTACAATGGTGTGTCATAGTGGTGACACGGAGAGTCGTGTTTGATATTGTAGTAAATTATGTAATGTCAGTAACGGATAGTTGTGTTTGTGATATTGTAGTAAATTATGTAATGTCAGTAACAGATAGTCTAGTTTGTGATATTGTGCTTTGTAACTTGATAATTCTGGTTGTGAGAAATGAAACCAAAGAATACACTTTTGATGTTGTCTTTTATAATGCTCTTATTTTATAATTTACAAGTAAAGATTAAAAATATTATGTGTATTTTTGTACTCCCAGACAAATATTCTTATTACAGTTTGGATGATGGGCTAAGAATAATATTGTAACATTGTAATACAGTGGTCCCTCATTTATCATCGTTAATCTGTTCTTGGAAGTGCGATGATTATCGAAAAAGACAATTTTCGAATCAATTTTCCCCATAAGAAATAATGTAAATACAATTAATCCGTTCCTAACACCCAGAAGTATTAAAACAAAAATTTTTTTTACATGAAATATAGATGTAGTACATAAACAATACAATGGGATATGATGAATGAAACATTAACAGCATAACACTTACCTTTATTGGCGATTCTTCTTAGTGTATGGAAGACTGGAGGAGGAGAGACATTGGATTAGTTACTGTTTGGAAGGGGAATCCCCTTCCATCAACACCTCAGGTACCAAGTGCTTTTCTGTGGTTACTTCTCTTCTCTGTTTCTTAATGCCACTAGGACCAGTTTGAGAGTCACTAGAGTCCTGTCTCACAAAAAAAAGTGTCCAGAGAGCTCTGTTTCTGGCACCTCTTTAAAACTTCCCTAAAATGGGCCAAGACTCTGTCACTGTACAAGTTGCCGATATGGCTTGCAACATCCTTCTCAGGGTGATGTTTCTCCATAAATCTTTCCATCCTACCCCACATTTCAAAAATCTCCTTAATTTCTGAAGAAGGCACCTTCTTCCATCTCTCAATCATATTTCTCACTTTCTTTACCAAAGGCTTGGCACTAGGAGCTTTCTTTGGAGCCATGGTAGCTTATTTAGCACTTGCAAGCACTAAAATGAATGGAATATTGTGAAATATTTCGTATGAACAAGTGAGGGGACCGTCGCTCACTGGTAAACAATAGCACACTGGCTGGGAGGGGAGGCCGAGGCGCCTCAGGGCGTGAGTACGCGTCCTGGACGAAGGACGATTAGCGAGTAAACTGACCATTTGTGAGCCAATGTTTCGACAAGAATAACGCGACGATTTCCGAAAAGGACGACTATCGAGTCGGATGATTATTGAGGGACCACTGTATATGGTTAACCTCATACTTCATAAACCCATCTGCTGACAAGTCAACTCCCAAATATCTGAAAACATTCACTTCTTCTATACTCCCTCCCTAGAATGTGATATCAAATTTTTCTTTATCTAAATCGTTTGATACCCTCATCACCTTACTCTTATCTATGTTCACTTTCAGCTTTCTACCTTTACACACCCTCCCAAACTTGTCCACTAACCTTTGCAACTTTTCTTTAGAATCCCCCAAAGCATAGTATCATCAAAAAGTAACTGTATCAACTCCCATTTTGTATTTGATTCCCCATAATTTAATCTCACCCCTCTTCCCAACACCCTAGCATTTACTTCTTTTACAACCCCATCTATATGTTTAACAACCATGGTGACATTTCAGATCACTCTCTATGAGCTACTTGTACTGGGAAGTCATCTCCCTCTCTAGTACACACCCTAACCCGAGCCTCAGCATCCTCATAAAAACTCTTTACAGCATTTAGTAACTTACTACCTATTCCATACACTTACAATATCTGCCACATTGCTCCCCTATCCACTCTATCATATGCCTTTTCTAAATTCATAAATGCACTGAAACCTTCCCTACCTTCATCTAAGTACTATTCACATATATGTTTCAATGTAAACACATGATCTACATATTCCCTACCCATTCTAAAGCCTCCTTGCTCATCTGCAATCCTGCTCTCTGTTTTACCTCTAATTCTTTCAATAATAACCCTACAATACACTTTACCTGCATATTGAGTAAACTTATTCCCCTATAATTTTGAATGGAGACGAATGTTTTTTGGGACCTGACGAGCTGTTGGAGTGTGAGCAGGGTAATATTTTGTGAAGGGATTCAGGGAAACCGGTTAGCTGGGTTTGAGTCTGGAAATGGGAAGTTTGGGATATTGGCAGTTTGGAGAGACTATCTAAACTATCTTATCTGGGCACCTCTGCAAAGACACTGATTATGTATAAGTGATGGTGAAAGTGTTGACTGATAATCAAAGTTTTTTCTTTCCCTTTGGGTTTCTCTTTCTTTTGGGTCACCCTGCCTTGGTGGGAGATGGCCAACATGTTAAATGAAAAAAAAAATTACAATCTCTTTTATCCCCTTCCCTTTATATCAAGGAACTATACATGCTCTGTCAATCCCTAGGAACCTTCCCTCTTTCATATATTTATTAAACAAAAATACCAACAACTCCAAAACTATACATCCCCCCTGCTTTTAACATTTCTATCATGATCTTGTCAGTTCCAGCTGCTTTACTCCCTTTCATTCTACACAATGCCTCATGCACCTCCCCCACACTCACATCCTGCTCCTCTTCACTTCTAAAAAATGTTATATGTCTGTGGCCAGTGCATGATATTACTGCTTCCCTTTCTTCATTGACATTTAAAAGTTCCTCAAAATATTCCCGCCATCTACCCAATACCTCCAGCTCACCATCTGCTAACCCCCCTACTCTGGGTTTAACAGACAAATCCATTCGTCCCTCAGGCTTTTTTAACCAGTTTATCTCATTCGAAGTTTTTTCTTATTCTCAACAAAATTTCTTGACAGTGCCTCTCCCACTCTTATCATTTGTTCTCCTTTTACACTCTCTCACCACCCCTAATATATGTTGTCTTGATTTACTCAAAACAATATATAATTCCACAATTCTATATACCACATAAAAATACTTTTAACAATTTTAGATGTTGTGCCAGAAGGCTGGCTCAGAGAAGCCAGCTGGCTGCACTCATTGTGTTGTCTATTTCTAATTTGGTTTATCTATACTTAGTATGTTATGGAGAACAAAGGCAGCAAGTATAAGTAAATGTGAATGTATTCAGCTGATAACCAGGAACAGTGCCTACATACTTCGGGTTTTCAATACACATAAGTCTTTCATATTTTAGCACAGAAAGAGAGAAAACTTTAGAAGGCTCCATAAAACTTGTCCAGGTGCTGAGTGAGAGGAAATGTTTTCTATTTCCTTTCCAAACAATGAAATTAGTACAAATGTCAGTTAGTTTGTCTCCGAGGCCTTCAGATGGAAAGAAAAGAGTTCTGCATTCTCCACCCTGCTTTCATTTAGTGGGTTGCTGAACACTGACTCAAATTGGTCATTCCTGATTTTACAGTACTTGTTTCCTACTATCATCTATATGTGAACCTCCTATTATTAATGGTTCAATTCTGCAGGCAGCGCTTAGCTTGGGTTTTGCATATATGTAGAAATACAGTGGAGCCTCTACTTACGAGTTTAATCTGTTCCATGACCTTGGTCGTATCTGGATTTGCTCGTTTGCAGTCAATTTTCCTCATTTTAAATTAACTGAAATGGAATTAATTCATTCCAGTGGAAATCTAGGCAAGATAAAATACTTCAATAATTTCCCTAATATCAACTCTACGGCTTATTTATCCATCAAAATTGATGCAATATATAGTAAACAATATTAATAACATAGAAACATAATATAAACACTAGAATGAACAAAATACATATCATTACGTATGTGGCTAGTGGTGGTGACAGCAGCCATTGTTGTTGTTGGGATTTATAGGGTCACTACAGTGGCCATTCCTGCTCCTGATTACATGTGTAGAGAACCTAGGATAACCCAAAAAAAGTCTGAGTGACTTATAAGTGCTACACTCTTAATGCTACACTTAATTGCTACACTGCTGCTTCATGTTGTCTGCCACTGCTACCTCATGGTGTCTGCTCCCACTTTTGCTAGCGTGTTGAAGAGCTTTCCAATATGTGAAGGTTGAGGGGCAGTGCCAATCAGACAGGCACCAGATGGTGACGCCATTTGTTTACTCTTGAACATCGCCAAAGGATCGAACATTTCTGCTACTTTGAGCTCAATTTCTAGGTACTTTTCATCATGAAACAAATCAAAATCATATCTATTTCTGTAGTATATCTTCCATTCTATCAAATGAGATCAAATAAAATGAGAATACAACCATAAAGGGAGGCTAATGGCTGAGAAGTGGATTCCGTTATTTATGGTCCAATTTCTTTCAGTTTTGATGCACACTAAGAAGCATCTTTCCATCATACATTGCCCAAGTTTCAATAAAGTAGTCCAACAAACAACCGAGATCCAATTCCCTAGATTAAGAACAAAAACCCCCTTGCCAGCATCAAGGAACCTCCCTTCAGGCCCACACGCATCTGGAAATTTCGCTCGCGTCTGGATGCAAGAAATCGACTGAGCGACTGCTCATATCTGGAAAAAATTGCACATGGATGCACTCATAAGTAGAGGTTCCACTGTACATGGGATTTCTTACAATATCCAGTATGGCTTTTTGTTCCCTTATGCTCTATCTCGGTGATCTCTCAGTTAAGATTATTGTTCCTTTATTATCTTCTACACTCTTTCTATATCTGATCTTCTAGGTTTCCTCAATTGTACATATTTAATACAGACCTTGAATGCTTCTGTGTTCAGCTTTTTTAGTCACTAGTGAAAATTTAGGGCACTTATAGCCTTGAATGACAGCCAATGAATACCATTATCCATATTCACACAGGGGTTGTTAGGGGCAGTGGATAGTTGCTGCAAAGAATTCAGGAGAGGAAGAGTTCTGAACTGCAGTACACATACATTAAATTAGAAAAAGAGAGGATTAAGAAATAAAGAGGGGGGACAAAACTAACAGAATGAGAGAATGCATCCATTGAAATACAAAAATAAAAAAGGAACCAGAAATCCATTACCAAGCCCCAACATACCCTTCACTGCAACCAGCAGTGTCGACCCTACACAGTAATATACCTCAGGATGGCACACCCAGAATCAACTAAGCAAGGCTTAGCAAAACTACCTGTTGAAACTGAGCACCTAAGCAAACATGATTTAGCTAATAATGAGTGAAGGAGAACCAGAAAGCTAGGAATTATACACATTCAGTCACCTTCAACAAGATCTGAAGGTATCCTCTACACATTATCACCACACCAAGATCTGCAGGCATCCTCTAGTACTAGTTCAGTTGTTAGATCATCCAACTGTCTGATCTCTCTTGTGACACACTGGGGAATTCAGATACCAGTTCCTTACCTATTCTTCTGGAATCAAAATTTAATGGAAGAGGAAATATTTCCCTATACAGCCATAATACCTATTATTACATAAAATAAAGAATAGTGTATTACCTGCAAACACTGGTGCAAAGATACTGAGGCACACTGCTGGGGGTTCTCCTTTAAGTCCTTCACACTAGAGTGTACATCCACGTGATCAACATCATCAATAATGTACCTGCAATAGTGTTGCAGTTTCCTTCAATATTTGATAGAAATTTAAGAAAAAATAAATTTCATGCTTAAACTACACAGGAACTTGAGTTACACGTGATATTTCATAACTTTGTGAAAACCACTTTTAACCTATATTATGTACCCAACCTGATAGACCTGTGGAATAAGAATTGCAAGCCAATAGCAAGAGTACTAATGAAAAGGCATATATTGGGAAAGATGAACAGGTGCAAAAATGATCTTTGGTTTACTGTTATGACTAGACAATTTCTACATTTCACTTTCATGTTATAGGGTAACAGAAGTTATGTATTTTAAACATAATGGTTAAAACTGAAGAAATTTAAAAACTAAAATTCACATTCAAAAGATGTTAAAGTATATCTAGGTTTATAAGCCTTTTGTTTCTATATACTGTACAAGCTAAATATCTTTAACATGTTCAGCAAAACTAGTTCATCACTATTATATCATGAGACTGAGCTTAGTGCTGATAAAAAATGCAAATAGTAACATGTTTCTAAATCATTATATTAACACTCATACACTTAAGGGATAGTGACAAAAGCAGTATCATAATCACGCATTTTCTTACCATGCATCTACAAATTTTTATGTATTAAAGGGCCAAATGTAGTATTATATTTACAACATTTGCTTAAAAAAATTATAGCTTTAACTTGCCTACAATGTCTAATAAGAATGTGCAACAAAAATGATTCCTTGTTTTAATTATCTGATGTTAAACCAGAGTAATCACATATACAGGTCTCCCTCAACATTCGTGTTTTCAACTTTCGCGGGCTTCACACATTCGCGAATTACCAACCGACAAATTCCCAGGCTCCAAATTCCCAGCTGCCAAATCATATTTAAGTTTCCTGCCACCTGCGAGTCCCTACTACCCTCCCTCTGACCCCCCTCCCCAACTGGCAGCCAGCCCTCCCACCAGTGTGGTGAGTGTTTTGTTTGTTCATTATTTGCTATTAAACTACAGTTTAAATAATGTAAACCCATTCATGACTGCATATTGGAATGGCTATTCGGACAGGTATTGGACGGTGACATCATGTGTTGGCTCTTGAACACAGCAAAGAATCAAACATTTCTGCTACTGCTAATAATAACAATAGTAGTAATAATAATAATAATAATAATAATAATACAGTGGACCCCCGCATAACGATGGCATCACGTAGCGATTATTTCGCATACCGCTTACTTTAATTGCAAAAATTTTGCCTCGCATACCGCTTAAAAACCCGCTTACCGATTTTCGTCCGAGACGCTTCCAATGTGCGGCCTGAGCCACGCTCACATGTTCCGCCGGTGGCATTGTTTACCAGCCAGCCTCCGCAATAACATCCAAGCATACAATCGGAATATTTCGTATTATTACAGTGTTTTCGGTGCTGTTTCTGGAAAATAAGTGACCATGGGCCCCAAGAAAGCTTCTAGTGCCAACCCTGTGGTAAAAAGGGTGAGAATTAGTATGGAAATTAAGAAAGATTTTGAAGGGTTTGGGGCTAACCCTGAGAAGCCTATGCCAGTTGTGGAATCCATTGTGCCTACTTGAAAAATTAAGGAAATGTGTGCACAGTGGGTTGAACTGCAAACCTTTATGGATGAAAATCACCCTGACACAGCTGTTGCAAGCCGTGCTGGTGACTATTTCAATGACAATGTTGTGGCCCATTTTAGACAAATCGTAAAGGAACGGGAGGTACAGAGCTCTATGGACAGATTTGTTGTGCGACAGAGGTCCAGTGACTCTCAAGCTGGTCCTAGTGGCATTAAAAGAAGAAGGGAAGTAACCCCGGAAAAGGACTTGCTACCTCAAGTCCTAATGGAAGGGGATTCCCCTTCTAAACAGTAAGAAGATAATGCTCTCCCCTCCTCCCATCCCATCAATCATCACCAGATCTTCAATAAAAGTAAGTGTCATGTAAGTGTGCATGCCTTTTTCAGTTTGTGTGTATTAAAATTAACATTTCATGTGGTAAAAAAATTTTTTTTTCATACTTTTGGGCGTCTTGCACGGATTAATTTTATTTCCATTATTTCTCATGGGGAAAATTCATTCACATAACGATTATTTCGCATAACGATTACCCCTCTTGCACGGATTAAAATCGTTAACCGGGGGTCCACTGTAATTATAATAATAAATACGATAGAATTGAAGAAGGAAATTGTACAAAAATACAAGGGAGTGTTTGACACATCGTCAGTGTAGCTTTGTTTATGCTGGAGTGAGTATTAGTCTCCGTGCTCTTCCAAACATTTCACAATAATTCATTGTGTTTGGTGCTTGTAGATTGAGTGCGACTGGAGTGGTAGAGGCAGCGGTTGAGGCAGCGATTGAGGCAGTGGGTGAGGCAGTGGGTGAGGTAGTGGATGAGGTAGTGGGTGAGGTAGTGGGCGAGGCAGTGGTTGAGGAAGCAGTTCAGGCAGTGGGTGAGGCAGCGGTTGAGGCAGTGGTATTTAATAACATACATGTTATTAATAATAATAATAATAATAATAATAATAATAATAATAATAATAATAATACAAGTTATTAAAATGTATTATTATTATTTATAACATGTTATTAAATACCACTGCCTCAACTGCTGCCTCTACCATTGCCTCAACCACTGCCTCACCCACTGCCTCACCCACTGCCTCAAACTGCCTCAACCACTGCCTCTACCAATGCCTCAACTGCTGCTTCACCCACTGCCTCAACCGCTGCCTCAACCACTGCCTCAACCGCTGCCTCAACCACTGCCTCTACCACTCCAGTAGCACTCAATCTACAAGCATCAAACACAATGAATTATTGTGAAATGTTTGGAAGAGCACGGAGACTAATGCTCACTCCAGCATAAACAAAGCCACACTGACGATGTTTCAACCACCCCTCGTATTTTTGTACAATTTCCTTCTTCAATTTTATCGTATTTATTATTACAATTTATTATTATTATTATTATTATTATTATTATTATTATTATTATTATTATTGTTGCTATTATTATTACTACTACTACTATTGTTATTATTAGCAGTAGCAGAAATGTTTGATTCTTTGCTGTGTTCAAGAGTCAACACATGTCACCGTTCAATACCTGTCCGAATAGCCATTCCAATATGCAGTCATGAATGGGTTTACATTATTTATACTGTAGTTTAATAACAAATAATGAACAAACAAAACACTCACCACACTGGTGGCAGAGCTGGCTGCCAGTTGGGGGGGTCGGAGGGAGGGTAGTAGGGACTCGCAGTGGTCGAGGAAGTGGAGGCAGTGGTATTTAATAACATACATGTTATTAAACCATAACATGTATGTATTTAGCACAATTTACAACGTTTTCATGTATTTTATGATTGTTCATGGTTCAACAAGTTAAAGGAAGAAGTATTGTATTATATTTCCCTACAATATATTGGGGCACCAAACATTCGCGATTTTTCAACATTCGCGAGGCTCTTGATCCCCTAACCCTCACGAATGTTGAGGGAGACCTGCACTGTATATACTACATAAAAACAAGGAACTTTTAAAGTGTGTATTTCAGTTTTACAAACAGTATATATATGTTAATCTTAGGCAGAATATGTGTATTTTAGAATTAGGTAGTGTGTGTGTATTCTAGTTTTAGGAATAGTGTTCATAATCCAATCTTTCTTAAGAACAGTATGTGTATTCTAGTCTTCCTTTGAAACAGTATGTGCATTCAAGTCACAGGAGCAGTGTCTGTGTATTCTAGTCATAGGAATAGTAGGTGTATTTTAGCAATAGGAGTAGTGTGTGTATTTTAGCCATAGGAACAGTGTGTGTATTGTAGTCTTAGGAGATGAGTGTGTTTTTCAGTGAGCATATTTCAGAACACACCATATAAAAGTGATACTCATGTATATATATTCAAAGAAAGAAAGATAAACGCTGTCTAATGGTAGTAATATTAACCCTTAAACAGTCCAAACGTATATATACGTTTTTTCAATATCTGAAAGTATGTAAAAAAATGTAGATCTTCTTTTTTGTTTTACATTTGAAAACGTGTAAAAAAAAACTTTTATCTACATTTTTTTTTGTTATATTTGAAAATATGTAAAAAAAAGTAGATCTACTTTTGGAGCACTATGAATTTGAACGTCGATCTGTTTGGACCGTTTAAGGGTTAAAGGTTGGCACAGCAAACAAGCCTATTACATACCTAGTGCAAATTTTAATATTCATTTTGCATATGTAAAAAATTTAATATAATAACAAAGCTAAAGCTTCATAAGCATTTAAAACATCTTCAAAAATAATTTGACCTTCAATTCTTACTTTTCTTTGGCTTCCATAGACCACTGCAGAATGAGTTTAATATGTGGGGGTCCAGCAGAAGGTTCACAGAGTGCCAACGCCTGCTCCACACTTTCATGGAACAGTGGCACATCCAGCGCTGGGTCAAGGCAGATTACACAACTTCCTCCATCATCAACACCAATTAAAAACAATCCACTCTGTCATAAAGATTATGTCATCTTAGAGAATGCCATTATTTTGTTTAAATAAATATTTATTTTACAGGACTAAAAGCTGGATATACTACAGCAGCACTAACAATTGTGTACAGTGCAACCTCTACTTGCGAGTTTAATCTGTTCCATGACCTTGCTCGCAACTGGATTTGCTCGTTTCCAGAGTCAATTTTCCTCATTTAAATTAACTGAAATGCAATTAATCCGTTCCAGTGGAATTCTGTGCTTCAATAATTTTGCTAATATCAACTCTATGGCTTATTTATCTATCTCACTTCATCTAATATGACATAATAAACAATATAAATAACACAGAAACCTGATAAATATACTCTAAAATGAATAAAATATGTAATTCATGTAGTGGTATGGGTGGTGTCGGTGGTGGACAAGAGTTTGTTTGGAGACCGGACAAAATACTTTTTTAATAATTTCGCTAATATCTATACGGCTTATTTATCTATCACAGTTCATCTAATATGACATAATAAACAATTTAAATAACATAGAAACCTGATATATACTCTAGAATGAATAAAATATGTCATTATACATGTAGCGGCGGCTGACGAGTGTTTGTCTGGAGACAGTACAAAATACTTCTTGAATATTTCGCTATCAACTTTACGGCTTATTTATCTATCAAAGGTCATCTAATATGATATAACAAACAATGTAAATAACATAGAAACCTGATATATACAGTAGGGCCCCACTTTATGGCATTCCGCTAATATGATGTCAAATTATGACCAAAATTTGTTATACGGCAAGTGGTCTTTCAAATACGGCGCACCCCACCTGGTTTGTTTTCATTCTCCGTGACCACATCTATTATGTCAGGAAACTTTCCAAAATTTCAAGTGTTTTAAAGTTACTGCGTATTTTATATGCACTCTGATAATGCAAGATATGCAAGATAATGTATTGCCTCAAGTGTCCGAGGACGCTCAGACTGCTTTGAGTGCTCTGCCTATCCCTGCAATGTCTGCTAGTCCAAGCAGTAGTTTCTCCAAAGGGGACGCCTTGTCGGAAAACAATTACTTGAAACTAGTAATGCCATCTCTTGTTGATGTCACATGCCGTCTGCAGAAAGACGTCTCTGTTGCAGCTAGTGCTCTCACTAGAGTGTCTGTTGTTGTTCCTAATGTTCCAGATGGTGATAACGTCCTAGTTGACAGTGATTCCTGCAAGGTCAAAGGTTTATTTGTTGAACCTTCCTTACACATTGTAAGAGACAGTAAGATCCATTTACTCCTTGCTAACACTTTGGGTCACAGTGTTCGTCTCAGAGCAAATACCAACCTCATTGACCTAGTTCACTATCCTTACCCTGTTCAAGTACAGGATGACGTGCCACCTGACCAGTGGGTCGGTGCTATTTCAATAGTGGAGACCTCACCCGCTCTGCTGGACCAATCTATCCCACCCCTGCCACCATTTATCGTAGGGGTTCTTAATGGAGATATCGAGGGTTGAAGGTAGACACACTTGTTGGATGGTTACGATATATTGTCAGACTGAGATGATGAGGAATGGAGCCCAGCCTTGCCGTGTTCTAGTCTGGATGGTCTGCCGCCGAGTGAGAGGGAGGCAGAGGTACGAGCCTACACATGCGCATCCCGTGACATCACACAAAGTCACAGGCCTACAAGGGATCTCCTATCTAAAGCACATGGATGATACTAATATGCTATGCTATATAACACAGGGATCAGCAACTATGCTGACATTGTGACGTTCCCAGTTGTCAACCCACATTCGTCGGGTAGCACAGAAAACGGGTGCGAAGGTTCTACAGTATGCTCCTGGTTCTACGTTGTTTCTGTCACTCCATCTGTCTTCTTGATCCTCAGCTATGAGGATTCACAACAGGATAATTACTATGAATCCTCTTGTGTTCCTCTGATAATCACCGTATCTTGAGCTTAGCCACCCTCAGCTTCGCCTTGAGCAGATGTGGTTGCCAAATCCATTCACACCATGTTCTCTGCCAGCTGTGGATCTAGGCGACTAACAATTCGGTGAACATTGCTGCAGGTGCAACAAGTTCATAGTTATTTAACCCTTTGACTGTCGCGGCCGTATATATACGTTTGCGAGGTACCGTGTTTGACGTATATATACTCATAAATTCTAGCGGCTTCAAATCAGGCAGGAGAAAGCTAGTAGGCCCACATGTGAGAGAATGGGTCTGTGTGGTCAGTGTGCACCACATAAAAAAAATCCTGGAGCACGCAGTGCATAATGAGAAAAAAAAAACTCCGACTGTTTTTTTTAATTAAAATGCCGACTTTGTGGTCTATTTTCGTATAGTATTTGTGGTTGTATTCTCGTTTTCTTGGTCTCATTTGATAGAATGGAAACTATATTATAGAAATGGAGGTGATTTTGATTAATTTTACTATAAAAAGAACTTGGAAATGGAGCACAAAGTACAGGAAATGTTTGATTTTTGTCGATGTTCAAAAGTAAACAAATGATGTCATTGTCCAATAAATGTCCAAATAGCCATTCTAATACGCAGTCATGAATGGGTTGATGTAATTTTTACAATTATTACAGTATTGCAGTAGTCTGCATAACAGTAAATCTTCTATTTTTTGTTTGAATAAAATTTCAAAATAAAAAGCAAGAGTAATATCACAGGACCTGGAGGACATGACTGATGAACAAAGAAAATTTTTATTTTAGAGCCAGGAATGTCTGCATTGTTCATTCTGGACCTTATTTTGAAATTGTCGTATTTTTTAATTTTCGTGAAATTGGCCAAATTGAAAATTTCTGACCATGTTATTGGGTAGTTGAAATCGGTAAATGGGCAGTTTCTTGTACTCAATCGATAGAAAAAATAGAGTTCTGAAGAAATAGTTATGAGTTTGGTTGACTGGAATAACGGAATTAGCCGAAAATAGGGCTCAAAGTGGGCGAAATTGCCGATTTTTAAATATCGCCGAAGTCGCTAACTTCGCGAGAGCGTAATTCCGTCAGTTTTCCATCAAATTTCGTTTTTTTGGTGTCTTTACAATCGGGAAAATCTTCTCTATCATTTCATAAGAAAAAATAATTTTTTTTTTTTTTTTAAATTTTGCGACACCAGGAGACACCTCAGGATTTGGGGTTGCGACAGTCAAAGGGTTAACGCAACTTATTTTCTGCCACAGTCAGCCAAAATAACCAGACCTAACTACTCAAAAGTGGTTACCTTTTGATTCAATCCTGAAAAGAGGCCTCATGAGGTAAAGAGAATGAACAACTCTAGGACCACTAAGCATCTATGGTGTCACACAATACTTTTAAAACCTCACACCACTAGCCCAGCCACTCCACATTTTTATCCAGATCTGGGTGCCGATGACCGAGCCTCACCAAAGTTTTCCCCAAGTGTGGATGTGGAATATTCTTCCATGCTAGAGTTTGATTGACATGTAGTCCTGAGAGACCAAACTTTTCCACCGCTGTATTGTGGACAAGACCTTTAGAAATTAAACTGAAGTTAATCTTCTGCCTCTTCAGTCATTTCATTTTTCATTTGTTCCAAAAAATCTTCAATAATTTCTGCCATAAAATAAGCTGTCAGGATGTGATTCTCAAGTGAACTATTTATTATAATCATAGCCTCTTTCTTTCTTTTCCCAGTCAGGAATATCGAGGTGAACATTTTAACTAGTGGTTTTATGTCTTTTTCTATTTCCTGTTGGTATTCTGGCCCAATTTCAACACATCGACTATAATCTATGAGTGTAGTTTCAACAACACCTTGCTCTGTTGATATGATGACATTAGACTGCTTAACAGAACCATGGATTATATTGTTTTCATGCATGGCACCCAATGTTAGGCAAGCCTAGCGTATTGCCTCAACACAACTCCATCTCTTAGGTAATGACCATTTCAGCTTACTGAAGGATTTCCCTTTATAGTTATGAAATAAAATTGCCTCTGGAAACCCAGCCTCCGCTACTACTTTTCCCATTATAAATGGTACTCCTGGGATATTATATTTTCTTAGCTTGCATAGCATTTTCATCTCTTCGTTGCTCACTGGTTGCTTCTGTATGGTGACGGGGAATTTATTCTCACCGTATGTTCCACTCCGGCTTGGTTTGGAACCTGAGAATCTCCCTGATTTCTGAAGTATCCACGGCTATCCAAATTTATGTAACATTGGATATTTCCAGGGCTTCACCTCAATGTCACCCCATTTATATTACATTAACAATTATCCATCGTCATCCCATTCAGTAGTTACTGGAGATTCATTAATATAATGCAACTCCTAATATTTCCTGACCTGAAGATTTTTATCGAGCTCTGTTTTCACACTCACCTGAGGTTCTAAATCCATCTCTGAGCGCTCACTGACGTCAGGTTCTAGACTCTCTGTGTGCACGCCGACGTCAGGTTCTAGGAACTTTCTACGGGCGATGACGACAGGTTCTAGGACCACTGGGTGCACACTGTCATGACTTTCAAGAACATCCTTTCGTATGCCAATTTGAGGTTTTTTTATACATTTGCCATTGCTGTCTTTGTAACCATTTTTCTTGGCGGCAGCTTTTTGGAAGTATCCCCGGTAAAGCTTCCACGCTAATACTGACAACACCACAAACCTCATTACGAATCCCCATGTCAACATACCAACTTCTGGCGCAGCTAATGGCTCTTCACCGACCGATTCTATCAGCGAAGTCATTATATATATTTAAGAACCATCTACCTCCTGAACATGCACATCACTCACCACAAAGGGGACAAATTCCCACAATTACTAGTATAGATTATAATAATTATAACTCTCATCCTTCCTCCAGAGGTTCAAAATATTTTAGCTCCTTTTCCAGTGTTCCTATAGGACTTTAGCATGAAAATGAATTGTTTCGGTTCTGTAACCAGCCAACATCAAATTATAGAATATTATCATGAAACTAGTAATCACTATGATATAACTCGTCATGATTTTAATTATTTGTCAGTAATAGAAAAT